CTCTTCTGACTTGCAGCATGTTAGCTGTAAAAGGCATATAAAATGTTCATGCTAGCATATAAGTAAAAACCACAGTACATAAGGGCACATTCATGAACTGATTTATAAGAAACCACACAAATGGGCCAATGTAGCACCAAACTGCTCTAGTTAAGAAAAAAAAATATTCTCCCTCACCAGGCTTTTGGTAAGAATTGTTATAAAACACTTACTTAAAAAACAAAAACAAATATGTGGCTGAAATACAATATAAATGCTTTAAAATCTCACATAATCTATAAAATTTAGAATATTAGAGGAAAGTGAAAAAAAAACATACATGCTCTGGATTTTCCAATAAATTAACAAACTGAAGCAGCACATAATAAAAGAACAATATACAAGTAAAGTCTTCCTATTTTTTTAAGATTTAAAGTTTGTGAAACTATACAATTAAGGATTATGATTTTTTAAAAATATGCCAAAGTATGGTATAAATCTCAAGCTCTAGTTACTTTTGCTAAACTCTAGGACTATACTGCTCACCAAAAGCACAAGAGGATGTATATTTTATCACTGATAGTGAAAAATATGTGACACTAATCTGAAGCTGTTAGGCCAATATCATTTAGCTTCAGGGTTCCTATACTTTTTCCCTGTGAGAATTAAGGTTATAAAAAAATTGCAAGGACTACTCTCATGATAGTGGCTGGAGTTTTTATCATCTCTTATTTGAAAAAAAAAAAAATCTAAGAATGAATTTGAGGATTCCTTAGTGCCCACCCTGAAAGCCTACCCTCAGGTATCTGAATCCCACAGGATGGCACTACAGGTTTAGTTTAAAACAATCGTAAACACAGAATCAGAAACACACCATACTATCACTGGATTTATTTACTACACAACAAAAAGTTAAGTCATTTTAGAAGGAGTAACTTCGGTTTAAGAGTAAAATATCAGTAATGAAATCATTCTTAAATAAACTACTGTTGTTACTTGCATTACTAAGCACATAGTAGGCCACTCAAAAATCTGTTAATGAATGAATCATTGATCGACCTAAGGTAGGTTACTCAATTACTCCATGAACTTTAACTTTCCATTTATAATGGTAAGCCTTCTCTGGCCTAAGTTCTCAAATTAAGTCATTGGATCAAGACATTCTGAAACTCTGACATCAAGACAATCAGAAATAAGATGCTTCCACTTCATGCAAAAGTCACATAAAGAGAGAAGTTATCTATCACATTCCCCGTGTTGATTCTCATTTGACTTTCACCTGAAGTATCACTTCCTCAGGAAGGGGTTTCCCAACCTCCACCCCAAGATATTATTGCCCTCTGAGTTATATTAACTCTCCCTGAATGCTTGTTCCTCCTTTATGCTATAACAATAATTAAATAACATTTATATTGTTCTTTGTTAAATGGTTGTTTCCTGTTCTACACTTCAGGCATCCGGAAGGTGAAGGTAATAGGAGGCTTGCTGAGTGATTTTCTACATTTTTGCACCTACATGTACCTGGCACATTGGTGTTTAATAAATATCTATTCCAATGTTTATTCAAATATAAACATTTATTCAAATGTTTATAAACTGATTCACTTCTTTATGAACACTTGAGAACAAAAGGGCGGCCAATAGTGTTCCTTCAATGTACTCAAATAATGAAAGCTTAGAAAACAAGAGAAGGAATATTAGGTCATCAGAAATCCAATGTTCAGAACATCATTCTGTTCTCAACACGACACTGAGAAAACAGCTTTTCCCTGGCAGAAATAGTGGTAAAAGAAGTAACTGTACTATTTATCTCTGTATCATTAGAGCTTTCAAAACACTTTCATCACATGTGTGGTATCATGATTGAAAGTCTCCAAAGAGTACACATACAACTCTTCGAAGAGCCACATGAAGTTTTTAAAGAGTTGTGACAGATATATAACCCATTTATACTGAAAGTTTTTATAAATGACTTAGAAACTATCAGGGACTTTTTAAAGCACTCCCTGTGTAATATTCCCTCTACAAACTAGCCTTTTTTTTTTTTTTTTTTAAGTTTCAGAGCACTGAAATAAACACCAATTCCAAATAAAATCTTCAGGCACTGCAGAATAAAGTAGCCCTATTTTCTCAAAGGACAAAGGAAGGCAATCTGAGAGCTTGTATTAATTGCCAAAGGGACTTCCCAGGGATTGCTGGTAAATTAACCCATACTTCTAAGGTTCCAAAGTAAACTTTCAAAACCTTTTCAGAGGTGCATCACTTTCAGAATTTTGTGAAGGTGAGATTGGGGGAGAGATGTCTATTTAAATATTAAACTCAAATGGTCTTTAATGATTAAAAAAAGATTTTTTTTTTTACTTACTATGACTATGTAAAAATTCATAAACAGAAAGACCACATGGTAGAATCAGAATCTAAGCAAACGATATAGTAGTAATGGAAACACAGCAACTCTCAAGGTGTATGAAAGAACAAAGGGTTACTGGGATTTGTATGGAGTCCCATTATCTGCTTTTTCCCCTCAATTATCTGATTTAAAACAATTTATTTGTTTTAGAGACCATGAACATCTCATATTGTAACTTAAGTAGCTTATACCCAATCCTAGATGATTCTTGAATTCCAGTGTAGGACAAGTAAAAGCCAAAGTACCCTGAAATAAAGTGACCAAAACAAAGTATTTGCTTTTAAGAAAGATTTTGTTTCACCTTTCTAAGGAGTTCTGTTTGGAAATCCGGGTTTGCAATAATATACTATCTTATAGCTCCATCAAATTCTACTAATGCCAAAATATTTTGATATACATTATCTAATATGACTGACAGAATAATCTTGTGAAATAGGCAGGCCAAGAATCTTATAGACAAAGAACATGAGATTCCAAGAAGTTAAGTTTCTTAGTCATGACCAAGGACTATAACCTAGAATGTGGAAAAACTAGAACTGGAAGAGTTTCTTTCTTTTTCTTTTTCTTTTTTTTAGAATCATTTCTGATCCCTAGACCACTGCTATTTCTAAAGACATGGCCCCTTCCCAGGTTGCTGTTCATTCTTTATCCCTCACCAAAAGAGCAATAAGACAGCCATGTCCCTAACTTCGAGTATGTAAAGGGGTCTACAACATTTTCTTCAAAATAATGGTCATATCCCCATTATGTTCCTTATAATTTTGGGTCTTAGAAACCTTATCAAGCTTGAATATAGCATAAATTTGCATCACAGAAGGAAAATAAACATGTTTTCTCCTCCTATAAAACACCAAGGACCTTCCTGATAGGTATCAGAACCACTAAAACCAAGTTGTCCAACACTCTAGTATAGTGTGAGGTTCAGGCTGAAAAATTGGATAAAACCCAAAGCATAATCTTCCTGTTCAGTTGGGTAAGGGTAATGGGATGAGACCTCAAGATTTAAGAAATGTTAACTATTGAATGTAGGTGAGGGTGGGAATTTTTTGTGTTTAAATTTTTTCTCTAAAAAGGGACTCAGTTTTTTTAAAATGGGGACAGTTTAATTCTTGATGTAAAAAGACCTTAAGTATCTGGTGAATCCTCAAGTTTAATAGAAGAAAAATCAACATTAAGTTCTTGACTCCAAAATCTTGTTTTCTTACCTATAATATACATTGTGCTGTTACATTTGCACAGTATAAAGTTAAAGATAGAAAGGGTCTATCAAATAAGTTCTATAGATAATCCATGTAAGGGTTAAAGCAAGACAGATCCACATAATAGGTCTAATTCTCATCTTTGGGAGCAAAAACACTTGACTTTATAAAGTCAGTGTTGTTCTTTTAAGTCTGTAGTTTTCAACCTTGGATACATATTAGAATGAGTTTCTAAAAAATACTGGGGCTCCAATCCTGCTCCAGACCAATGAAATCAGAATCTATGGGAGTAGGAACTGGTTGGTTCTAGGGTTCAATTAGAACTGAAAGCCTCAGGTCTAAGTATTTGTTATCCAGTTTCAAATACGATGTCAACATGATGGTATTTTCATATTTTCTTATAGAAGAAATATTCACAGGATCATAACTAACAGTCACAATAGCCAGAAACATCAGAATTGTACAAACTAAATGAATTTATTATTTGGAAATAAGCAGATATCCTTAAAGTTAGTTATCAATACTACATTTAATAAATATTAACCATTAAAAAAATAAAATTTAATATAACCATATAATGTTCATTTCATCAGCTTAAGTATTAAACAATGTTTAAAAATTTTATCTTCCACTGAATAGTAGCTGATCTTACAAAATATTTGATTTTCTGAATTTTCCCATAGCTGTAAATAAGAAAAGGCAAATAAAGAAAACCAGAAGTACAAGACACCCTACTACACAGGTATATGAAATCAATTCAACAGGGAGTTTCCACTGCTGGGAGGACAAAGGACTTCTCAGAAATATTACAGCAATCATATTGCTCATTTCTTACTCAACACAGTACTACTGAAAAGGATGTTGCTATGTTCCCACTTTAACTGCCTAAGTGTTGTTCCTGTGACAGCTGGAGTCAACAAAGATAAGTTTGGCTTTTGGAAAAAGCAAAATGCCAGCCTTCTTTATTTTTAAACTTGCTCTAAAACTCTTCCATATTATCTGATTCTAAGAATTTTGCAATAGATGCATATTAGTTAAAGTTGGAGAATGAGTAACTAAATCTGGTCTCAATTGTATCTTTAAACAAATATAACAAAAACAAGCTGCATGCAGTTTTCAGCATTTTATAAAAATCTACTCGTATCTGAAGGAGGCTTACACTAAAAGGTTTGAGACAAAAAAATACAAGACAATCAAAAATAGATTTAATATGCTAATTAATCTAAGTGGCCTAGCCAGGAAAATATTTAAGATTCCTATTTTATGAGATTTCTTAATTAAGAAGAAATTAATAGCTGCTACACTAAAGATAAGGAAATGTTAAAGGTTAGAGAAGAATTTTGATTTTGTGTTTCTATTTCTAGGTCAATGAACTATAACCAAATATAACCAGGTGAGTGGTATAAACTTACATGATTTATTGCAGATTGAACAGCTTTTACATAATGATTTAGTTGCCGATCCATTATAGCAAATTCAATCATCGCCTTGTCCATACTATATTCACTACTCACTTCAGCTGAAAGAAAAAAAATTGCAATTATTTTCCACTTAAAGTGCCAGATCTGAAAAGAGTGTTGCACCAATATAATCTACATCAGTCAATGGTCTAAATAATTTTGTAAAGGTATATGACATATTTTTTTAAAAATTCAACATATGCCAGCTTCATTCAAAATTTGAATACACTTAGTAGAAGAAGGCTTAAAGGCAGTGTTGGAGTGGAAAGAAACAGACTCATACTCAGGAGTTCCAGGCTGTGCCACTTACTTGTATGATGTTAAATCACTCACTATATCTCTCTCAGCCTTAGTTCTCTCATCCATTAAAGCAGCCCAGTCATTCATATATATATATATGTGTGTATATATATATATATATATATACACACATACACATGTGTGTGTGTGTGTGTGTGTGTGTATCTGCCACAGAAACCTCATAGGATTGTTAAAGAGCAAATAAGGAAGATTTACACTTCTAATAACAGTGGGCTAGATTATTTGTATCAATCTTCCTATTGAAAACAACTAAAAATATTGAATAAAATAAGAAAAAAAAGGAAATCTTAAAAACAAGAGTCACGAGATAGTAAGAAATAACCAGAGCAAAATCTAGAGAAAACCAAAAAAGAAACAGAGGCAACAGAACACCAAGTTGCACACCTTCCCACAGTAAGCTAGGCTCCTCACTCCCTGGGAGAAAGATGAACCAGAAGCAATCCCTCCATGTTCCTTGGGACTGCAGGGAGGTTGGCCTTAGCCATTAAGCAGAACAGAGGAAAGGGGGGAGAAAACAAATCTGTTTCTGACAAACTGGCCACAAGGCAGCCCTCCTGGATTTGCAGCCTGGGTTCCCCTAACCTGAGGTATCCCGGGCCCCTAAGCTCTGATCCTAGTAGGCGTCCTCAGGTTGATAATACCCATAGGTATCTGGCAAAAGCAAACATAACTCCTCTCTGGAGAAGACACTTTCATCCTAAGTATCATATAATCTCTACAAATAATATTTAAGGATAATGAACAGATCATGGAAGAAAAAATTAAAACAAAAATAAAAACAAATAAAAAATCTCACACACCCTAAACACACAAGAAAACAAGCTACCAAAAGTAAGAATCAGCAGAAACAGATCCACAAATGTTTTAAGTATTCCAATTATCTATTAGTCAGGATAAAAAACAAGCATGCTTAATATGATTACAAAATTAAAATACCCTTAGGGAACCTGAGTCTATAAAAAATGACTAACAGATTAGAAAAGCAAGGTAACATACTTAAAAGTGCTTTTAAACTTTTTTTCTCATGCTCCTCTAAACATATAATTCAACAGACCAGACGAAGAGAACACAGCATCATAAAAATTTTTAAACTAAAACAAAACAAAACAAAACAAAACAAAAAAACTGAATGAAAGGCTGACCTGTCCTCTAATGACCTGACTTTCATTGACCCTGTCCTAACACCTTTCTTCAACCTGAGTGTCCTCTCTCACCATGGCAACAGCATCCAGTGCCTGGGCAAGGCTATCTTCCCTCTGCTCCAGAGCCTAACACTCCATGGGGATACCACAGAAAAAGAGAAGAGGTATAGGCAGTATGTGCTCTGCACCCTGCCCCATATCACCACCTTCGACTTCAGTGGAGTCACCAAAGCAGACTACACCACAGACAAGTGTGGAAACGCATGAACATCAAGCCCAAGAAGGCCTGGATCAAGCAGAACGCCCTCTAAGGTTCCCAGAACCCTAGCAGTCCTAAAGGCCCGAGGGTGGTCAGTGTGGTTTGATAATAAATGATTTGAGTTGCTTAAAAAGAGAAGTTGATTTTCTTAAATCACATTTGGGCATGCACATATTCAAATCACATGTAAAATCCATTCACATTTAGCTTTTAAAAATTATCTTCTTAGACTTTTAAATTATGTTTTAATTTTGTAATAGTCACTTAATAAAGCATATTCCATAGAATATCACCTGGGTTAACATGCTTTTGGTAGAACACCTTTTGGCTTTTAATAACTAGACAGCAGAGAATGTACATACATCTCAATGTAAGTTTGTTTGGGATAGGGGGAGGGTGTCATGTTTATATAAGAAAAATTTCTGTATACATTCCCAAACAAATGATGTATGAGAAAAGACTCAGGTCATATTCCAAATAAAACTGTTAGACCATCAGAGTCACAGGTTGATGTTTTTAAAATATGCAAATGTCAACAAAAGAGACATGCTGCTCAGATATTGCTGGTACCAAGATGTATATGTTGCTATATACTTAGCAATCGTTCATTAAAAATCATTCTTAACCAGGAAGAGAATTTTAAACAATTTATATCCTAATGTGCAACTGTGATTTACATATGGGCATTTTACCATATTTAGTTACATTTCAGTAAAATTGGTTAGAGCTTCTGATTAAACTGTAATTTAATATTTTTCCACTTAAAATAATAAAAAATAGATTCTTGGTTTAGTTTTAAAAGAAAGTTCTATTTTTCTCTTAGTGGATCAGTATATTTTATGGGCATTAGATTCTGACACTAGAACTGGTCAAAAAAGTGGGTAAAACTAGTAACCTGCGGCAAAGCTAAGAGCATAAACTCTGCTTTTCCAAAACTCCATTAATTAGAGGCACCCCAAAACTAAACAGGAATCCACTAAAATATCTATTGTGAACAAAAGTCTTTGAAGCATAAGAAATGAAAGTCTGTCAGGGGTTTAAATGAGCTAATTTTTTAAAGCATTCAGAATGTGCCTGAGACACTCAAATGCTACAAAATTTGCAAAATACAATAAAAAATGGTGTGATGCTTCTCATAACCAAGGTTTCATAGATGCTAGGAAGACCTGAACAAGATAACACTTTGAAATACAAGGCCAAAGAAACCTTCCTGCAAAGTAGGAAATAAGCCAGGCCTGGGTCAGATTTTAAGGCATGAATCTTAAAGAAAGACTATTTGGAGGCCAACTGTGGATTACAGGCAGCCTCAACTCAGGCTCCAAGACCCAAGGAGGGAAGAATAGTGCAGCCTGAGGCAACAAAGGGAAGGGAAAACACCAGAAGAGATCTGGAAGGTAGTCCTGAAATGAACTCAGAATCACAATGTACCTGGAAGCACTGAACAGTTAGATACTACAGTCACCATGTCTTTGTCTGCTGCAGCTCCGGGCTGGAGAGACCAGCGACCTAAGATAGGAATTAGAAGAGACTCCTCCAATAGCATCTGGAAGACCAGTCATGAGAATATCTGTATCAAGTAGCAACATGCCATAGCCATTTAAAAATGATCTTTGTGATTGTTCTTGTTGTTCTTTTTAACTCTTATTTCCCTATTGCAACAATAACCTTTTTTTAAAAAAGTTGACTCCATGTGTGTGTTTCCAAAGCACTAGCTAGGGAAGGCATAAGGAATCTGTGTTCTGTTCTATAAAGGAAATGAGGTGGGGAAAGAAGCCCACTGTGCTGTATGAAAAAGGCCAACAGGCCAAATAAATCCTGGAGACTTCTGGAGGGAAAAAAAGGATAAACACAGAAACACGAGTTAGTTGGCTGCTGACTACAAAGTGGCTGGGGCATGGGGTGGGTGTGGTGGGACTGACCAGTCAGAGGCTACATAGTCCCACAGTATATGTTCCCACTAACAAAATTCTCCTACTCTTTCACTGAAAGCCCTCACTGAGAATCTATACCAAATTAAATCACACACCCTTCAAGGCCTGAGCTCAAGCCCTACCTGCTTTTAAATTGTACCAGCCTAGAAGAAGCTCCTCCTTCCTTAATTTATCTTAACACCTATACTCAATATTTGGCACCATAAACAATCTTGCCTTTCTTTTCTGCATTTGCCTCCTTTCTCCAAAGAGATTTACTTCATTTGAGGGCAAGAATGATGCCTTAGGTGTTCTTGAAATCTAACAAAAAACTACAGCAATTATTCTTTCAATGTTCTTCTAAAGCCATTACTTCATACCAAACTATAAATCGTCCTACCACAGGTATTAAATTGACTTAAAATGTAAAAAGGACATGTGATATAAATACATTTGCCTATTACTTTTCATTGTGATTTTTCCATAATAAAAAAGTTGGTATCAGCATGGGGTAGGGAGTGGGGAAGAGAAGAAATCACCCATAAGATGTTAAAATTCACAGAATGATGACCCTGGAGAGAAAAGCATTGCTTTAACACACCCCTGCAAACCTGGTGTTAGAGAAGTTTGGTGCAGATGATAAAGCATGGAAAGTAATAACAAAAATGAAATATAGATCTTGTATATAAGTGTGTATACACACATACACACACACACAATAGCTGTAGCTAACAATTAGTGAACACTTAATTATGTGCCACAGGGTTGAGCATGTCATATTTACATCAAATGTCACAGAAGTATTAAGAGATAAGTAGTTTGACCTCCACTTTACATATTAAAGAAAACTGAAGCAACTTACTCAAGGCCACAAAGGTAGCAAGCAGCAGAGCCAGGCCTCCAACTCAGCCTTTCTAACTGCAAAGGTTGTACCCTTGCCCATCTGTGCAAAAAGGTATTTAAACACTAGGAGAAGGACAAGAGCCCCCTAACTCCTCTGTGAATATCCAGGGAACAAACCTTTAGGATAAAGTCAAAGGTTACAGCTCAGCTCCCTGGTAGTCTGTTACCATAAAGCAATATTTCTAAGTAGGACATGGGGCAATGCCACTCAAAGACTATCAGATCTGGTCCTGGAACACTCTTTCCAAATTCCTAAAGTAGAAGACACTGATTTAATAAAAGAAGAAGAAGACAGAAAAAAGAAAAAAATTATTTTTCCCTTTTAGAAAGATTAAGAAGTTTTAACCTTGGGTGACCTTTCCCAATAGCAAAGCTAATTTTGAGGTGCTATAAAAGCAACCAAATCACCAACTAAATGCTAGGAGAATTACTAAGTCAACTCCAGATGCTGAGAGGTTAAGCCTGTACTAGACCAAGAGCACTGGCAGCAGAGATGAAGGCAGCTACAGACTAACTACCAGGCA